ATCTATCTATCTATCTATCTATCTATCTATCTATCTATCTATCTATCTATCTATCTATCTATTTTATATTGGCCGCCCGTGGCACAAAAAGTGACTCTCGGCAGCATACAACAATTAAATAAAACAATAAATATATAGAAACAATCATTATTAAAAATATAAAACAGTCATTGTTAAAATACAAACCACCAGCAACAGGAGAGAGTAAACACTCCAGGGGACAGGGGAATTAGGTGGCTCCCTTATTTTTAACTTCCTTTTATTCTCTTCTTTTATTCTGTTTTATATATTTTTAATGTATTTTATTGTTTTTAGCTTTGTTGTACACCGCCCAGAGTCATTTGTGGTGAGATAGGCAGCTATATGAATTGATTTAATAAATAAATAATAAATAAATATTAACCACAATGTTGGAACCATCTTAGAATGTCACAGTCCCCTAAGATCCCCAGGCCTGATGACCTAGCCAGGTCTCGAGGGACTTACGGAACATAAACAGGGATGGAGCTAATCTCACTTTGGGGGGGGGGATGAATGTTCCATAAGGTGGGCGCCATGGCAGAGAAGGCCCACCTCCTGGGGCCTGCCAAGTGTTAAGTCCCTAGCAGATGAGACCCAAAGCATACCTTCTTTGCCAAATCTAATGGGACAGGCAGTTGTAACTGGGGAGAGGTGGTCTCCCAGATAACCCAGTCCCATGCCATGAAGGGCTTTAAAGATTAAAACCAGCACCTTGAATTGAACCCAAAAGCAGACTGTCAACCAATGTAGCTTGCAGAGTAGAGATGTGACATGTGCTGTTCTGGAAACATTCATAACTGCCCATGCCACTGCATGCTGCACCAGCTGACCTTCCAGATACCCTTCAAGGGGATGTAGAGCACATTATAGTAGTCCAGTCTGGAGGTGACTAGGGCATGAGTGACTGTGAGCAGGGCCCCCCGATCTAGGAATGGGTGCAACTGGTGCATAACACATAGCTGTGCAAAGGCCCTCCTAGCCACAAATACCACCTGCTCCTCAAGTAGGAGTCATGAGTCTAGGGGGACCCCCAGATTGCACACCGGCTCGGTCTGGGGCAGTGCAATCCTATCCAGCACCAAAGATGGCATAGTCCTAGAATCAGCAGGTCCCAAAGCCACTCAGTCTTGCCAGGATTCTGCTGAAGCCTGTTTTTCCTGTCCAGACCCTCACAACCTCCAGGCACTGGGATAAGACGTTCACAGCATTGCTTAATTCGTCAGGGGCAGAGATCAGCGTACGGATGATACCTCACCCTATGGCAATGGATAAGCTCACCCAACGGCTTCATGTAGATTTTAAATAGGAGAGGAGAGAACACCAAACCCTGTGGCATCACACATAGTAGGGGCCAAGGGTGGGACCTGTCCTCCCCAATCACCACCGATGAATCGACCCCAGAGAAAGGAGATGAACCAGCACAATACCATGCGGCGCACCCCAAATCCTCTGAGTCAAACCAGGATGCCATGGTTGATGGTATTGAAGGCCGCAGAGAGGTCAAGTAGGGCAAGGATGGATGCACAACCCTCATCCCATTCATGCCAGAGGTCATCGAAAACTCCCATACCCAGGTCTGAATCCCAACTGAAAGGGATTCAGATAATCCAATTCATCCCAGGTCCTCAACTTTCATCCCACTTTCTTAACCACCTTCCCCTAGAAATGGAGGTTAAATACTGGATGAAAATTGACCAGTATGGTGGGGTCCAGCGATGGCTTCTTGAGGAGGGGGTGAACCAAACTCTCTTTAAGATGTAAAGAAACAACCCCCTCACTCAAAGAAGAATTAGCCACTGCTAGAACCCACACAATACTCCCTGGGCTGCTTTAACAAGCCAGGAGGGGCATGGATCTAAAGAGCAGGTGGCTGAGCTCACAGTCCTAAGGACCCTGTCCACTTCCTCAGGTCCAACAGGCTCAAACTGTTCCCAGATAACCAGGCAAGACCAGGCATCTCCTCTGGACCTGTAACAAGGGTGGCATCCAACTGCAAGTGAATTGAAGTGACTTTGTCCAACAGATGCTGAACAAATTCCTCCTCACACCCCTGCAAGAGGTTCTTCGAACCCCTCTACCCCTACAAGAGGGCTTGTATCACTTGCAACAAGACTGCAGGGCAGCTATCTGTAGACGCAATAAGGGCGGAGAAGTACTGATACTTCGCCATCCTTACCACCACAAGGTAGGCTTTAATAGTGGCTCTAACCCATGTTTGGTCAAGTTTGTCCCTTGTTGAGCTTCAGTGACGCTCTAGACATCTCTTGTTTCATCTCCCTCAACTCCTCCATGAACCAGGGGGAGTGATGGGATTCCTGAGAGGGGAGAGGTCCCATGGGTGCAATCTGATCCAACGCCTCACCCACCCCCTTATTCTAAACAGTGACCAAGTTTTCAGATGGACCATGCAGCAGACCAGCAGGAACAGCCCCCAGCTCCCTCTGAAACCCATCCAGGTTCCTCAGTCACCGTGGGTGGACCAATCTAATGGGTCCAGCCTCCCTGCAGCAGAGAATCCCATGAAAATCAGGGCATGACCTGACCATGACAAGGGAGACACCAAAAGCTCCCCCAATTTCAGATCACATAGCTATTGCTCCAAAGGAATGCCAGATCTGGTGTGTGACCACTATCCTGTGTCAGGCTCTGGATGATCTGGGATAGGCCCATAGCCATCATGGTGGCCATGAATGCCCAAGCCACCTCAGACCCCACTCCTAGAGAAGGCAGTTTGAAGTCCCCCAGAACTATAAGTCTGGGGAATTCCACTGCCAACCCAGAAATGGAGTCCAGGAGCTCAGGCAGGGAGGTTGCTATGCAGCAGGGAAGCTGGTACAACAGCAACAGTCCCAACTGATCCCTAGAGCCCAGCTTAATGAACAGGGTCGCACATACGGTGACCTGTGGTGCAGTGCCCCTGAAAGTCATAAGAGACTCTCAGATGACAATCGTCATACCTCCACCCCTGCCCCAGTGTCTCGGCTGATGCCACACCCAAAACCCAGCTGGGCATATCTACAAAAGGGCTACCACCCCTTCCGAACCCAGCCAGGTCCCAGTGATACATGCCAGATCCAGCATCAATGATTAGATCACTAATGAGGGAGGCCTTATTAAAGACTGACCTGGCATTTAGAAGCAGCAGCAGAAAGCCAGGGCCACTGAAGGTCTGCTGACAGAGTACCAGGGTTGAAATCAAGGAGCTGGAACACGAAAACGGGATAAGACAATGGTCCCACAGTCCCCGAGAATGGCCCCCTCCCTGTCTCCCACATCTCCCCATGTCCATCACCACCATAATATTATGGCCCATCTCCACCCCCCTCAATGACAGCCCCATCCTCACATACAGGCCCCCCCAAGACCCAAGACCAGGGACTTCCCATTGTCCTCTCCAACCATACCTGGGAGGGGAAGTCGGGCACCCTGAGGCACTTTAGCTTTAGTGCACATTGCATGTGTGTAAGTGGAAGCAGCTGAGTGTGCACTTCTTAACTTTTTAAAGTCTCATTCACATTCTTGTATTGACTCTAGCTGGTGTCACAGACTGCTATGAATGCCCATTGGATCATGTCTCCCTAACAGAACTAACCATTAGCTGAGCAGGGTCAAAAAATTCAAGTTGGCAGCCATAATCAAGGCCCCACCCATTTTTATGTATAGGTAGTCCTTGCTTAACGACCGTTTGTTTAGCAACCGTTCAAAGTTACGATGGTGCTAAAAAAGTGACTTACAACTGGTGTCCGAAGTTATGATCATCACTGCACCCCTGCAGTCACGTGATTGCGATCCAGGCACTTGACAACCAGCTCACACTTACAATGGTTGCAGAGCCCCAGGGTCACATGATTGCCATTTCCAACCTTCCCAGCTGGCTTCCAGCAAGCAAAATCAATGTGAAATCACGTGATTCACTTAATGACCACGATGATTCGCTTAATGACTGCTGCAAAAAGGCTCGTAAAATCAGGTTCGGTCATGTGATAGTTCGCTTAATGACCCCATTGCTTAGCCACCTGAATTCTGATCCCAATTGTAGTCGTTAAGCGAGGACTATCTGTACTGCTATCTTTATACTCCTGGAGTGAGGGAGGCTCTGGCAACATGGACCATGCTGTTTACTCTGAATGGATCTGCTCCAATTTCAGGGTTTAGATTGAAAGCTCAGAATTAAAAAACGTGAGCAGCTAATTCCATCAATTACCTTCTGCTTCTAGCTCAGAAGATGCTGCTGTTGCTTTTTTATTAATTTGATCCTCTGCTCCAGGCCATTTGTGAAACTACTATAAACTACTTCAGACTAGACACTCTAAATTTAATATCTCAAGATGATTTAGGAATATCTATTTGTTTTAATGCCCAAATAATAGCCAACTGGATGAATTAATTTCAGGCAATCCCAAAATAAACAAGTGGCTTAATCATCTGTCCCTTGGTGACAAGAGAGAAGAGGTGATTCTTTCAGCAGCCAGAAACAACAAAGCACAGCAGGCTTCCAGAGGTTTTGTTTGGGGGGGTTACATTCACAAAAGCTCTTTTGAATATGCCTTTTTGGAATAATTGCCCATCCCTCCAATGACAAAACTATGCAGCCAAACAAGACTAGTGTAAATTGCACAATTATTTTTGGAAATAATATCTGCATAGGGTGTGGCAGGAACACCTTTCAAGAGCAGCGCTGACATCACTTCTGTGGTATTCATTTCACTGAGTTTTTTTTTTTTACCAATTTCCTGATGTGATTAGCTAGTGTATTGTTTTAATGATGCCATCTGATAAAAATAATACGATGCCCTGCCTTTGATGTAACTGACGCAGAGTGTAAAGACACTTAATGCTTCGTAATTTTGTCTATCTGTGTATGTTTCATGTGGACATCTGCCTAACCCAGCTCTGAACGGATGGAGCTGGTAGTGAATTCCCTGCCTTTCACAACTGCCCTCCTGTCATTTCCTCTGCGCAGAAAGCAACAATAAACACAGTGTAACAGAGTAGTAACTTTTAAACAAAGTACAGAACAGAATGCCTTTCTACGGAGTGTGGGCATTTGGACTGGTTTTTTACTTTTCAAAATCTTTTAATAAAGATTTAAAACCGTTCTCGTTTTCTCAGAAGTGCCAGCTGGTATCCTTTTAACTGCTAAAAGCAATAGCATTTTGAAATCTTGACATATCAATGGCGCGGACAAGTGACACCATGGAGATGAATGGTTCCGTCCATGTCGAATGGTGTAGCCTGGTGCATTTCCTTTGATCATCCATAATTTCATAATTTATGTCCATGTCTGGGTCCTTATTGCATCAGATAAATTGCATACAGTCTGAGAAAATCAGCTTGCTTATAAGGCATCACTTCATTTAAAACTAAACTTTATACATATTTTATAAGTATGTATACTGTCCTTCAAAACTGAGTCAATTAGTTCTTTCTGAAATATTTTATTTGACTGATTGATGATTGACTTATTGACTGCCATATCACCTTTCCTCCAAGAGTTCTTAGTGGCTTAACATTAGAGTTTCCATTTTAACAAGAACCTTGTGAAGAAGGTTGGTCTGAGAAAGAGTGACTGGCCCGAAGTCACCCAGTAAGTTCAGGGCTAAGGATGGACCTGAACCTGGGTCTCCACACTCCCAGTCCGACAGCTTAACCTCAACACCATGCTGGTGTAATATTTGGTGAACCTGGAAAAAACAGGAGCAGGAAACGTAAGAGGCAGCACTGGCACTAATCAATGAGTAGCCACAAAATTTGTACAAAGCCCACCCGGATTATGAGATGGGACATGTTTTGAGGGAGAGATTGTGTTTTTCCTACATCAATAGTCATTCAACAATTACAATTCAGTCAATAGTTTTCTTTGTAACAGAAGGTACTTTCTTGTAGAAGGGAAGCTGGACCACCTCAGCAGCTCCACTTTGGGGGTTTGAAGATGAGGCTGCTCTGGAAATGGTCTGTTATAATAAGAATTGGCTAGCCATTTGCCTTGGGTTCTTATAACTTTGCAAGATAAAATTAGCACAAGTGGATTGGACTTTTGAGTAAGTTTATGCTAAAATTGAGTGCTGGAAAATATTCAAAGACTGCTTGCAATAAACATTTAAAAAATGTGATTTGGTAATGAGAACTCTGTCATTATGGCTGAACCTTTCAAAAGACAATTGACTTTGAAAGTGTAATGAGATGTTTCCCTTAGCCCATAAATGGATTTTTCATATTGAATGTTGCTCCTTTATGTTCAGAGGTGTCCATACAGGGTAATCAAAATGGCAGCTGTGATGGTGGAATTGAAGCTCCACCTATTTTTTATGTATGGTACACATAAAAAACAGGCAGAATTTCTATCCCACCATTGCAGCTGCCATCTTGACTGCTTTGACCGAACCCTGCGGACACTGCTGCTCATACTACAAGAACAATGAAGCTTCATTTCCTATCTGTTGGGCACTCAATGTTTAGTGTCATTAACCAACTTTTGTCTACTTAGCAGCTGTAGAGACACAATTTAGCAAAGTTGAAGGCGCTCTTTCAGTTTGGTTTTATGTACTTCTATTCTTATTTTGGGGCATTTAAAAAATAGATTAATCATACCAATTTTTAATGTTTAATTTATCAGATTAAATTGATTTAAAATTGGATTTTTCTCATAGAAAAACTGCAGGATAAACTTCTCTAAATATAGGAACACATTATCGCTGGTGTCTAATTCCGTAGTGAGTGTTGCACCAACGCATCCTATTTCTGTCATTATGCAAAGAGAATAGCCTCAGCATCTAATTTACTATTTTGTCATGCAGGACTAATGACTGTTTTAACAGATTATCAGGTTAAGATCAATTAAAGTAACCAGCAATTATCTTCCCCAGATATAAGCAGCCACTCACATTGCAAGATTAGCATCCCATCAAAGGAACTTTGCCTTTTTCCTGTACAGGAGACAAATTGGTTAGCTTACTTTTTGAGAAAGAAACTTCTCCTTGAGGGATAGCAAAAAGGTATGTGTACAGATTTTTTTTTCCAATTGACCACTCTGAACATTCTGAATTTATTTGGGTAAATGCTAAGAAGGTAATGTTTAATTTACAACAGTGAATTAAAAGGCAGGGTGGTGTGGGGAAACCATGAAAGAATCCACCAGAAAACTAGTTCCAGACAGGAACCTTCTATACTTTTTAAACTGATTTGTTGATAAATATTAGTATACAATCCTGAATCAAACTATTTTAGATACTTTACAATAATCTCATATTTACTTAGAAGTAAACTATATTTAATGAGGTCTATTTCCAGGTTGGTGTATATGGGCTTTCAGTCATGGGCTCCATAAACGAATGAACTTGTTATGGCTAATTCTTCAGCATTAGCAAAGGCAGATTTTGGTTGGGTTGTACCTATAATCTTCTGTATTCCATACATGTATCAGAAGGTGAATTTGTCCCAAATACAGAAAGTGAATGAAATTATTTTATCTTACTTAGCTATCTTAAACGTTTGGCCATGTATATGAAGGCATCAGACAGACTATTTATACACTCAACTGATGCAAATATTCAGATTCTGAATTTTTGCACTCTGTGCTGTGGAGGCAAGAAAGACTGTATATTTGAATACAGTCATATTAAAAACAAGGCCTTACAACTTTCTTATATATAGAAAAATATGGCAGAAGGCTGCAGAAAGGATATTTTATGTGGGAGCATCACACGAATGATTTAATGGTTCTTAAATCTTTGGTGCACTTACAAAATGTTAGATCCTAGATTTAGTAGGGTCTTATTTTAAGAGCTGATAGATGTGTTTGGTAGCCCTCACTGTCTGTCCTCCAAATTCTGCTTCATGATCTGAAGCTGAGACTAATCTTGCCACTGAGAACCGCAGAACAGAGAATAGGCACAAATTAGGGCTTATCTTTTTGTGCCTGAACTTCCAATAATAACTAGATCTGGAGATTTGAAGAAAAGTTACCATGAGGATAAGCACGTATCAGCATTGCCTTACCTGTGAATCATGTTTAGCTTTCTGGCATCTAAACTGTTGAGCAACCTTGGCTTAAACTCTTGTATGCTGGCTTTCTTGGGCTACTTTCATGGAATTGTTTAGTCTAGAGGTGGGCAGTGTTTTGCTGGCTAGGGGGTAACACCCAATACGTGGGGAGAGGGCCTCCAAGTAGCAACCACAGCAGTTAGATTAATGTTGCAAAACAGACAGGGCTGCACCATGTATGTAAAGAGGTGTGGGATTTTCTATTTTTATTCAGGGGTGGGAAGTAGGATGTGTGAGTGTTCATGTATGAGTGTATTTTAATTGTGATGAGCTTATTTTAGGATTTACAGCAGAGTTGTCAGGTTTCCCACCTCAAAATCTCACTGTCAAGTTTCAGAAATTGTGATCAAAGAGAATTCTGCAACAGTTAATGACTGAGGAGGTTCTAGTTTATTAAAAACATTAAATAAAATCACATCAATTAAATGCTTTAATTCCCACTGATTTCAACAGAATTGTGGTGTCTGCTTAACCCTCTGTTGAAATCAGTGGAATTTAAATGTGTTCATTGTTGTCTGAGTGATGATTTCTGTGTTGTGTTGTTGATTACATTGTAGGGTGGTAAACATTTACCATCATTCCTCAGAAAGAAAAAAAATCATTAGCAAGAAACCAGACAAACAATAACAAAGGTCTGCATCGAATCTCCATAAACCAATTTAAATGCATGGGTGTGGATTTAGAAATACGTAAGAGAATTTTAACAGAAATGCAATGCAAATCACATCATCCAATGGAAGACTGCAAGCAAGCTTGTTTAGATGCTAATTTTGCTGGACAGCCCTTCAAACAGAAAGAGCAAGTAGAAGAGAATATCCATAGCTCAGGGTTGAACTATGGAATCCTTGGTGCTCTCTAAGCTTGGTTGTTTGTTTGTTCCATTACCCAACTATTGTAGGTAACATCATCAGTGATCAGCACCGATCTAAAAGAATTCAAAACAAGAGTGTTTTCCCATGGGAAAGATTTTTTAAAATGAATTCCAAAACTTTATTTCAAATTTATTTGGACCCTTAGTCCATTTGGAACTTTCTAAAATCAAAGTTTTAATCACCCTTTTGCTCTTTATTCTAAACAATTTTTTTTAAGTTCTTAAATTTGTAGTTAAAACTTCTTTCACTAAGGATTGAAGGAAACTCACCTGGTGCTATAGAACTTGTCGATCCAAAGCTTCCTAATAGCTGAAAAGCCGTTAACAAGCAATTTCTGAAAATGATTAGAAAAGGAAGTATGCAAACTTCATGTCCTTTCAAAGGCGCTGACCATGGTTTGAGCAAGATGACTATTACTTTGTCTCCCAGAGCTCTAAACCCACTGGAGACTGCTGTCTTGCAGTCTCCTCATGAGGAGCAGCTGCCTGGATCACTTGTGGGCAATCTCAAGTCCTCTCCTTGTCTGGAGAGGGATTATTGAAGAGCTGGTCTGCTCACTGCCTCTTCATTCCACTGCGATCATCAGCTCCACTTTTAGTGGAGCCGTCTTCAATCTGCCATTTCTTCCCCAGAAGTCCCATTCCACACTTCTTTCTCACCAGTCTCATAACTCTACGACCTTTTCGATCATCATGTTTTCACTATCTACTAAAAAATATTCTCCCTTAGCTAAAAAATTGCACTCAATGGACTACTACTATGAGGCACAAAACACTACATCGGATTGGTGCCTTATTCATTTCTTTTAAGAAGTGGAAGCAAAAGTTTTTTAGTTTTTTGGTTGCTTTTGAGATAAACGCTGGGAAAAAAATTGAGGAGTGTCCATTAGAACAGCATTGGCTGTCCATTAGATTGCCAATTTTGGAGTAAAACTTCATTCTTAAGATGAGTTCAAATGTTACAAAGGACTTACTCTGGAAGTACAGTTATGTTGGACTGTTCAAACAATTTTCTCCCCAGTACAGTATTAGCTTGGAAAAATGGTGATGGAGAAAACAAAGCTGAGCTGATTTTGGCCCATTCTTTCTCCCACCTTAGAAAAACTGTGTGTGTGTGTGGGGGGGGGAGGTTGTAATCTTTCTTAAATTAAGTGTGCCTTTAAAATAAACATGGCAAAAGTTTTAATGAGTAAACAGGCATTTAGTCCTTAAAAAAAAAAATTAAGGTCTCCAGATATGTATCTCAATATATGTCAAACTTCTGACTGAGATGGTGATTTGAGAATTTGACCCTTGGGCCCTTCAAATATATATCTGCAGCTCTGCAGCCTAGCACAACACATGGCCTTTGTCAGTGCTAAGAAGTTTGCTAATTTGAACTAGTACAAGAAAATAGAGCACATTCATTAAGTAATATAACATAGAATTTGGTAGCCTGTACTTCTGTCATGTTCACGGTCTGAAGGTGAGAGGAGGCAGTGAGACCTGGGGAAAAGCATCTATAGTCCTTTCTGTTTTAATATTATGGCAGTAAAATTCTTGTGGGGCACATTTATTATTAGGCATTAATGGGGGTGGGAGGGTGGCCTAGTTCCAGTTTCCTGTCACAGACCAAGATGGTTGGTCCAGCCTCTGCCTAGTGTGGTCTAATTATTCATGCAGCAAGGATCTTGGTCACACTGATGAAGTCAAACCCCCAAAGTATTAAAAAGCAATGCACCAGACAGACTTTGCTGACCCTTTCCATGTGATTCTGCCACAATGAAGAAGGTTGTTTTATTCATCAACAAGGCCATTTCATATCAGCAGGAAAAGATTTGGCTACCCAAGGGGCTGTGGGGACCCATCAAAATTTGTGGTTCATCCTGATGAACTTTCCGTTTTGAAGTGTCTCAATTTTGTGCACCTCTGCAGCTGACAGCCATCATGAAAACAGGTAGAGAAATGAGCTGTTTCTGAAAAAGAAAGCAAAAAGTAGGCTTCTGGACTGTGCCTTCTGGATCTCATTGGTGTTGTCACCACAGAAGAGTCCCATCCCCACAGCAATTCAGGCTGCTTTGTTTCATCAGTCAAATTAGGTGGAATGGATGGGAGTCCACTGTCCACAGATCATCCTCCTTCCTCTTGGTCATCTGGCATTCCTAACTCCATTTGCACCATCAGCAAGAGGGCAATCAAGAGTACCCATAGGTTCTTGCACCATAGCTTAATTCTTCAGATATAGGTTGCCACTTAAAGCAGATTTTAATGAGGTCAGAGCAGTGATACGGAGGACTTCACAGCAGGAGAAGCTAATGGGAAGAGGACATCTGAATGGGCAGGTATTCCTAAGTAAAGAGGTAATACATGCAGTTGTAAACAATCCCACTGAAGAAAAAAAAAATGAAGGCGAGCAGAAGAAACCAACAAACCTACTCTAAAAGCTTTAATGAAGATCTGAAAATAAAAAGAGGAGAAACATAAAGCAGGTCATGTCACAGACATATAGCCCAGACCTGTCAATCTGGCATCAGAAAACCAAAAGTTCAGAATAAATTTTTATTTTATCAATGCATGATACTCAAGAGTCTTGCCCTCAAGCAGAAATTTAGTAAAATACAGTTTAACACACATATTTTTTAAATCTAGGCAAATATTATTATAGAGAATAATTGCAGTCTACCCAAGGGGAAAAAAATAATTCAGCACATCTTCCTAGGGCCTCTTTGCTAAAACATCACTCCCACTGCTTTTTCTCACTTTCACTGGGAAGTGATAGCTAAAAAAAAAAAACTTGCTAAATGAGATTTGCTGTTTCACCTTCTTCTCCTTCCTCCATTAGCCACCAATGACTCAACAGACAACTGTTAAGAATTTTTTTTAAAAAAATCTTAGTCTCTGTCTCTTTCTGCCAAGGAGGAAGAATTTTACCCCCTGCAGCTATTGGCTACAGCATCCCAGAAGCTCAGTGTGATCACTAGATGAAGACAAATATCCAGTAATATTCATACTCTCTCTGCACACTGAAATCCGATGCCAAAATAAATGAAATACCAATAGAAGATGAAATAAATGAAAACAGGAGCTACACAGCTGTGATCACCTACAATAGTCTTCCCCAATCTGGTGACCTCCTGATCGGTTGGATTATAGCACTTGAAGGTGTAGTCTAATCCAGTAAACTGATATATAAATACGTACTGTATGTGCCCTGAAGCCAGCTTTGGAGGGAATTTGCATTGGCATTACAGACCAATAGTACAAATATTCACAAGCAGGAGTGACAATACAGAAGTTTTTGTAATGCTTACATTAGTCAGATTAATATCTGACATACAACCAGGTACCTATAGTAATTTTCATCCTGCATCCTGAAAAATGCTAGAGTTCCATAGAGAACAATCAAGGATTCTTCCATAAATAGATCTGGAGTGGTAGGCAGTCTTACCTGTTGTTTCCCATCTTTTGTAACAACTTGTAGGACCAAGAAAGCATTGGGCATATTCCCTGGTTCAATCTGGTTCATAAGATTGCCATTGAAGCTAAGTAGGTTTTGCATTTTTCTCACATGTGTATTGGATCAACTTCCAGGGGTCGTTCACAAGACAGTCATGTGCTCCTCAGCATAAAAGACAAAACTGAAAGCATTTCTAAAAAAGCAGAAACGTTGAAGAAAATTAGGAACTCAGATAAGGAAGTTGGATCTTAGGCAAATCAAAGACAGAGGCTGTGGCGGGGAGAATAATTCTGGTGCTGTAGTAGGTCAATAAAGTTCAGATCATTTTAGCACCCCCTGCATGATAATTGACAGCAAATTCACCGAGGGAAATTCCTCCCCTATTCCAAAGGTTACAATAGGAAGAATTAATATGACAAATCTCTACATGTGTTAGGGATGCAATTCTCTTTAGCTATGCTAGCCAAGAACTCAAAGCTGAGGAACGTCCCATCATCCCAAAGAGCAAGAAAAGAGATGTACTGTAATTAAATCATCCAGTGCCAAACGCCAACAGAGATCGTTTAGACCAAAATCAGGCATGGTCAAGGACCAAGCCAGTGGTCAAGTCAAAGTCTTTGATATCAACAACCAAGGTTCCAAGAGCTGACCAATAAGTTAATATCCAAAATTTTAAACTCTTTAAAATCCTTCTGGAGTTCTTTGCAGTTTTCTTGTGTTTTCCATCAGCTTGGACATGGTTTTACCTGCAAATGGCTATACTTCTCTTCCATGTTTCAAACTTCTACCACATTTACTTCAGGTGGGAAGAGAAGGGGCATAGTCTTCAGCATGCCTTCTCAGCTTGCAAGTACAAGTAGTTTACACATGAAGGAGACAGTTTTGCAGGTCACAAAGATCTGAACCTTAAAAGGCTTTATAGAGAATTGCCAGCACTTTGAATTGGACCCAGAAACAAACCAGCAGCTTATACAATATTAGTGCTGTTCTGCTATAACAGCTTTCACCTGTCAGCAGGTGGAGAGGTGCATTTTGCACCAGCTGTAACTTCCAAGCAGCCTTCAAGGGCAGTTCCCAGATAGAACAAATTACAGTAGTCCAATGCAAGATGATACTTGCATGAATCACTATTGTTCGTACATCTTGCTCCAGAAAAGGCTCCAGCCAAAGTTGGGTAAAGGCTGTGGTGAGTGAAAGGATGCCCAGTTTGATTGCTTTTACAATATTTGTGATTTTATGGTTATAGAATTTTGTATATTTTAGTTCCTGCTGTAGACATTTTATTTAAACGCTTCTGTTGCTTGTTGTATTATTTTAAACAGCTTAGAATCTTGCAATAAGATAGATATAGATAGATAGATAGATAGATGAATAGATGATAAAGATCATTCATTCTCTGGTCAAAGGTTCTACCTGTTGATCCAGCAAGAGTGATGCATCCAGGAGAATTCCCAGACTGCATATCTGCTCCTTCAAAAGGAGTGCACTCCATTTAGAGCCCCAGATTAAACTAACGTGGCACCAGAGGGCTTCTGGACAAACAGCAACTCCATCCAAACATGTTTCATCCCAGCAAGTCCCCCACAGTCTCCAGGCAATGGATCAGAGCTTCCTTTGCATGTCTGCTCAGATATACCACTATACAGCATACTGATGGATGATCTCCCTCTGTGGTTACACGTAAATAATAAAATAATTGGGGGGGGGGAGTGCTAAGCCCTCCACTTACAAACTCTGTTCTTGTGCACTGGAGGGGCCACAAGTAAAGATCTCAGAGACCTTGGGACATTAAGTTGCCCATCCCTACCCTAGCTGCTAAGTTTACTCAGAAACTTTGGGGGAAAGGGACAAGGTAAATGCCCGGTTGCATTTTTGCAAATCTTCCATGGATGTTTACTTTCTCACACTAGATTGGAGCATCTCACCATAGGTGGTAGTATGGAAATGTCACCTATTGTCCATCAGCCACAAGCTCACAGGACCACAAGGAGTTGTGAATGGCAGACTGAGCTCTGTGACTGCGGAAGCGACTGTCGCATCTGTGAGTGAACTGTTAAGTGCTGGAGTTCTTGTGTACCTTTGTTCCTGAATTGCCCTTTGTTTAAACATTAATCCAGTTGTGAGCAAAGATTTTCTGCACTCATTTCCTGTGGAATTAGAAATTTAAAGCAAGTTTAATTGATTTATTATATGTCATCAAGTCTGTGTCAGCTCTTAGCAACCCCATAGATAGATTTTTTCCAGGACAAACTATCTCCAACGTGGCCCTTCAGATCTTCCAACAGTGTACGCATTGTCACTGTAAATGAATCCATCCACCTTCCTGCTGGTTGTCCTCTTCTTCTCTTTCCTTCCACCTTTCCCAGCTTTAGAGCCTTCTCCAGAGAGATAGGTCTTCACATAATGTGTCCCAAGTAGGATAATTTGGGCCTGGTCATTTATGCCTAATCTCATTCGATTAGAACAAGTTTAGCAGCCCAAATTTTCAGCAGAACCAGATGAAGCAGGAGAATTAGAGCAGACCATAAAAGTCAGAGCAGTGGGATCTGAATAGTGATCTATGAGGGCCAGTAGAACAGTTCAGTTTATGCAAAGGTAACTACAAGAGGGAAGACAAAAGGTGTGCTCACACATCAAACTTAGCCATGGTTAGCTTAACTTTCCCAATTTTCTATGCCCAGACAACAGAGCAAACATAAACTGACAAAGAAGTTGAGTTCACACAGGGGGCCATCTAAAATTGGTTGATCAGTTTGTAGTTCCCTGTGTTCTAAAAATACAGCCACAGACAGGTTCAAAAAGAAGGCAACCCAGGATATGGAAGGAGCAAGAGAAGAAGGAGTGGCTATTGGACTTTCAAGAGTAGCTACTCCATCTGACAACTTGTTTGGGAGAAACCAACAAACCAGAAACCAGGAAGGAAACCAGCTAGGCCTTTTTGGGATTCTTAGGGCATTTGCTCCAGCTATACTGATGAGCTACTGTACCGCTATCCAGTATAGATCAATAAAGATCAGATCAGTCACTCTCCTTGCCTGAAAGCTACCCCTGGAGTGCAGGGAGTTAATTGTTCCTACTGCCAGATTGCTTAGTTCAAGGTCCTTGATACAGTGTAGAATGAGATGCAGCCTTATCTTGGTAGTGTTTCCAGGTGGACCCCATCAGAGGGAATGGTGGGGAAATCCAACTGCTGCACCTGAGTCCTAGGCCTTTTAATGGCTGTAGGCCCTTCCACATGGGTACTGTTTCTGTCCTTGCCCCATATCCTCAGATGCATTTTGACATTGCCTCATCACTGCCTTCTTCACAAGGCCAAGTAGTCTCCGTGAGGAGACCAACAGGAGAGTGTAAAAATCAGTATCTTTCCAGCATCTCATCCTTCATCCAATTCCTGCCTGCCCGGCTACTAGTTTTTCATAGAGAGAAAAAGCATCCTCTCTCTGCTTGGTTTAAGAAGGCCACTGAAATAGTGGTGAGTCATTATAGTTCGTTGGCTTCAGCAGTTTAAGAAGCTGAGCGAAATAGTGCTGAAGTCATGGCACCTTGACTTCAACAGAAACGGGAAATAGCTTAGGAAGCTAGGAAGGGCAGCTGAGATAGGAGTTCCTGCCAGTAGGAGACTTCTTACTGCAGCTCCAGCACGAACACGGGAAAACTGTCTTTGCAGTGGTCATGCTGGAACTGGAGCTAAGCTGGCAATCTGATCAACTGCAGTGGAACCGCTGAACAGCAATGATACCACACAAACCCAGAGGCAAAGTGCTGAACCTGGGGAAGCACAAAGCAAGTATGTGGAAGGAGCAGGATATCCTATGGTTATCTAATCTTTTCCTTGCTTGTTTTTTGTACATTGGAGTCAATGACCTGGTGAATGGAAGGGCTGTGTTTTATTCCAAAATAATGGAGAAAAAAATGGAATTCTTTCTATTTTTATGGACTAGCTTTGCTGCTTTAAATGAAAGGAATCCATCCATCCAACAGTTTCAAATGCTGAACAGTGCGTTGTATTGAGCTCCTTCCACAGCTTGCATCTGGGTCAGTTGCTCCCTGCCCCAAAACCTGACTACACCTGAAGACATTTGTGGAAGTCGGATCCTCAACTTCTGAATACCGTTGCTTTTTTTTCCCTTCCCTAGATATTCTAAAGCAGTGTTTCTCAACCTTGGCAACTTCAATATGGGTGGACTTCAACTCCTAGAATTCCCCAGCCAGAATGCAAGAGGGACACAATGCCCATCCTGCTGATGAAGCATGAGATGATACATTGCATAGTTTCTCATGGGTGATTGCAATATAAAAATCCTTAAGCAATACACCCATTAGGATGACTTACCTCTTGCTAACATGTAATAACTCCAGATATTAATAAGAGAGAGTTCTAAGTCATGAGTACCTTGTTGATCTAGAAAACAGTGACACAATACAGCTGGGAATTTCTGGTTCATGCGAGGCTATTATGAAAGCCTACTATTCCTTTAAATACACCTTCCTAAACAGCTTCTCCAACTCTGAGTCTTCAGGAAGGGTGGGGATGACAATTCTTAGAATTCTGAGCCATCATGGCTAAGTTTATTAGCCATGTGTAAAGATTTTGGGAGTTGTAGTCCCCACCCTTCTGAAATGCAGCAGCTTGGAGAAGGCTGTTCCAAGAATGAGCTGAGAAGCTTCCTTTTCACTCAAGATTATAATGACAAGCTTTCTTTGATCTCTTCCCTAGGTCTGTGTGGAGCCTTCTGCTTCTGTTGCTTGGGATGCAAAGTGGCCAAAGATATGGACGAATGCTGCTGCTGTGGGCCAGCTGTGGCCATGAGGACACGGTATCGGACTTTGTACAACATCCCGGTAAATTCCTCAGCCATCATTTTGTTTCCCTTTTTCTTTTCTTTTTAAAATTAATTTTATTAAAGAAGTTTTTTGCAGAGTAAAAACAATAGAAATTTAAAGAAAAAAGGAAAGGAAAAGAAAAGTGATAAGTAAATAAGAAAAGTAAAAGAAAAAAGAGGAAAAAAGAAAGAGAAAAAGAAAAAAAAGATGTAAAGGAGTGACTTCCGATCTTCTTTACAGCAGTTATAAATGCATTTATATTTTATCCTCTCTCTCTAAGGTTACACCACAGCCCTCTTCTTTCCATATTGTACTCTTTCTTATCATCAAACTCATATATCACAAGTTCATTTTTTTCCGTTTTCAGCAAAAAGTCCATAAGGGATTTCCAGTTACTGACCGTTTTGTTTCCCTTTTTCATAATGTTCCAGAACTTAGTTTGTTAATCTGCTCTTTAGTTTATTTATTCTTCAAAGCTCAGGGGTGTCCCTAGGATATGGTCAAAAAATCAAGATGGCAGCCACCACAGTGGAATCAAAGCTCCACATACACAGGAAACAGGTAGAGCTTTGGTTGCACCATCATGGCTGCCATCTTGCCTTTTTTTACCATACCCTGTAGACACCCCTGCCAAAGCTTATATGCTGCTTCAGCCATATACCACTCTCAGCGGGCAGTGCTCCAAATACATTTACAAAATTAAAACAAAAAAACAGGAAAACAAAACAAGACAATCAGATAATATCCAGGAGTTTCAACAGCACGGAAGAACAAGCAACAAGTTCACGCGCCTCATAGCTTTTGTTCTGGTTTCGCTTGTTCCTTCCTGAGGAGTGACCATGAGAGCTCGACGCAGCAAAGATTAGTATTTCTACACTAGCAGTATACAATCTTTTTTTTTAATAAGAACTTTATTAAGTTATAAAAAGCATACAGATAAAAGCAAACAAGGACTAATAATCAAAGAGAAAAGGAGAAAACAGAAGAGTTAGAGATAGAGAAGGAATACAAGTTGTCCCAGTTTCCTGTCCCCCGAGCCTCATTCTGACAAGAAATTAGCCACATCTGCCAGCAGACACTGCAAAACAGTTCCACCTATCTGTTTTACTGTTTTGTTGGTCAGTGAACAAATAAGGTTTCTGTCTGACTTAACTATTTCACTACAGGATTCAAAGTCCTTGCTTTCAGGTGGACAAAAGTCATGGTCACTCTGCTGGTGATTGTTCCTGCCATAAACATAGACACAATATGCTCTAATCAGCACAGTGATTTATATGTACTTTGGAACATAAAAATAGAATCTCCCTTGAGCTGAACTTGACTCTCGGAGACTTTACATGCGCCTGACAAATCTGTACTTCTGATAGCAACATGGAAGTGGTTTGCTATTTCTTTCTTCTTGTTGGAGACATCATCCCTATCCACCAAGTCATTTCCTTTCTAGTACAGGATAGAGGAGGGATCAGCTGGTGTCCAGCTTTCCATCTCTGTCCTGCTACTGCCATACAAAGGATCAAAGCTAGAGTAACAAAAGGCCTTTGGACTTGTCTATGCTAATTATCCACAGAGTGGCTCTGAAAACACAAGTCCTCTGACCTTTTAATCTCTTCCCTGTTTATGTCTCTCTCCCTGCTTTTGCCTTTTGCTTCATTTTATCAATCCCTTAGGGATGTTTGCTGGTGTTTAACAAACATCCAAGTATATTTTTTGCTAGCTGAACTGAGTGGGGTGTCTGCTGGCTGTGGTTTGGATACAGGAATTGACTGGGAGAGTGCTGGGGGCAAGCACCACTGGAAATTATCCACAGTAAATTCCCAACACTCCTGGGATGTTCTTTGGGTTCCCCTGGCTAATCCTCAGCCAGGTATGCTAATTAAGTGCAAGTCTGCTTGGCCTTTCTGCTATCTGCCAAGATTTGCTAGATGTTGCCCTCTCCTGTGACATTTGGTTTATCTCAGAGCTTTCAGATAGGTTCCGTCTTGCCCAGTCTATCTTTCAGCAATGTTTATGGTACCTGTTGGCTTGAAACCTGTTCTAAAGTATCTATTATAGCCCTTATCAGCTGCTTTATCTTATGCTCTGCCCACCTTTGTCACAGTTTAACGAAGCTGGCATGGACTGCGTCCTTTGCGTGATTCCTTGGTGTAAGCAGTGGAGTTTTGCAGAGAAACAGCTTCAGTCATGCCTCTTGAACATTCAAGTGGGGAAGACAGAAATCTCCAGATAAATACTGCTCAAAGCCAGCTTTTGCTCCATCCCCATTGTGTACAGTAAACTATAGTTCAAAATACAATAGAAGCAGGATTGTGACTTCCTTCTTTTTTGCTCCACAGGGATCCATCTGCTCAGATTGTGTCACTGTCACCTGCTGTGGTCCCTGTAATCTTTGCCAGCTCAAAAGAGATATCAACAGGAGAAAGCAATTAGGGATTTTCTAGGTTGGTTTGCAAATACTTTCTGCTGTGGAGACTGGGTGGATGGGTAATAAAAATGAGTAATTTTCCAATGTCATCCCTTTCATTTTCTGATAGGTTTCCCAGAGGGAAGCAGAAGAGCTTGAAGAAGAATGTGTTCATGCTCAACATCTCAGGACCTCAGTATATCTTCTGCGAAGTTCCATGTGGCTTGTTTGCTTCTGCCTTAGCACTTTGTGGTTTGTATTGTGGCTTGCAGATCATAACTTATGCTGTGTCAGCATGTGGTTTTTACCAGCAAATTGTGCCTTATTCAATAAACCAGAATAATGTGTGAACCCCAGCCTATATGTGTACTTGGTCCACTACTCTTGAGGCTGCTCTCCAGAGCTAGGTGTTCAGATCCTCTTTGGGTACAACACTGTAAGTATATAGGATGAAAAACTTTGGAGAAAAGCCAGCCCACCTGTTACTGATTGGTCAAAATGCAGGCATTCATCGTACTAATGCACCTCCAAAATGAAAAAAGAAATAATTAAGGTTCAGTTAGAACATAAGCAGTGCCCTGCTGGATCAGGCCCCTGGCCCATCTAGTCCAGCAGTCTGTTTTGACAGTGGCCAACCAATTGCTCAAGGAAGTCCATGAATCTCCCAACAGATGGCCTTCAGAGGCAGTCACACTACCATCTAGACCATTAGTTCTCAACAGGGGCGGTACTGCCCCCGGGGGGCGGTGGGAGGATGCTGAGGGGCGGTGAATTTGTTTTGGGCGGTAGGGGGGCGGTGGGCATGTTTTGGGCGGTAGAGGGGCGATGAGCATG